TTGTTTGCTAGAAGTACACAACCCAGGTGTCAGCAGAATTGGTTCCTTCTGAGGGCCATGAGGGAAGGATGTGTTCTAGGTCTCTCTCCTGGGCTTGCAGATAGCTGTCTTTCCCTGCAGGCTGTCTGTCTCTGTGTCCAAATTTCTCTTTTGTACAAGGACACCAGTCATATTGGAGCAGAGCCCACCCTAATGACTTTGTTTTAACTTGATTACCCCTGTAAAGACCCAATCTCCAATTAAGGTCACATTCTGAAGTACCGAGGGTTAGGACTCCAACCTATCTTTTTTAGAGGGGCACATTTTAACACATGTGTTGCTGTATGTAAGAAATGTGTTGCTGTATGTAAGAAATCTTACCTCCTTATGCACAATCTTTAGTCATCTGTATCTCACGCATGCCGTGTTTGTTATGAGACTTCTAGAAGAGAGGGCAAACATAATAACCTCGTATATCTCACACTAGAGATGGCTCCCCAGATAAATGGTATCCGGACCTTGGTGAGAACTGTGTAGTTCGTTATAGAGTTGCAATCTGTTACCAAGTCATGAATATCTCAGGCTGATTACTGTCACATCAAGTTCTCATACATGCTGGGTAAGTAGCCCAGGGTCTTGGCAGCGAGTGTAGGGTGGGGTGGAGTATAATAAGGCACATCGCTATTAGGTATGTGCTTAGGATGGGGGTGAATGTCCTATTCTTTTATAGCTTTCATACCAAATTGTGAAACCCAACTGTTTTCTTGCAAATGGAATAGAAAAATTCAGGTTTGCTTTAATAATTTGAATTTGTGGAGAAAAACAGCTGATCCAGTTGGCCGATTGTGTAGACCACTTTTCAGCAGGTTGTTTTGATGTCGTGTAGACATGCTTGGAATCTCTACCTGTGGCTGCAACATGCCTGTTGTTTTCCCCAAGCTGGAGTTCGAGTAACAGACAGCAAATAACTGGGTAGGAGAGAGACAACAAACCTTTATAACTGAAGAACAAAGCTGGCCTTTGAGGCACGATGAAACCAGGTCCTCATATAGAATCCATTGAAAAACAGGATTTTTATGACATGAAGTAATGATTTTGATTGAGAGTGCTTAAGATCCTAAAATATTGGCAAGCAGAGGTTTGACTAAGAAATCGCTCCTTTCAGTACATTGGTTTAGATCTATAATGGAATCTGAAGCTCACAGATATCCTAATTTTGTTTGTCCCTAAATTGTATATCTAATTGTCCTTTATGATCCTAATGACAAAGCTAATAATGTTTTAACTTGTGCATCGACCAAATGCATCTGACTTTTATGCCAGAAAACCCAAACCAAAAAGCCTCACCGGATTAAGGTTCAAGAACTCAAACTGATGGCTTGTCTTGCCATTTCATATTGAGTATGGCTCAAGGCTACCCTGGAAACCTCCACTTCCGGAGCTGAATGTGGAACCAGATGCCCGTGCTACGTAGGAAAAATCTGAGGATCACTCTAACATAGTATGCTATTCTCTGAGCAGTGATGCCAGCTCCTCCTTACAGATATATCTGCTATCTCTGTGTTATATAAACAGCATGGATTTAGATGTGCTGTATATGAATCTCTATTTTAAAAAATGTCATATCTAAGTTTTGTTTTTTTTTAATGGCTGGGCTGGTTCAGTTGAACAATCTTATATAAGATGACAAAAGCTCAGATCTGTGGATCTGAGTATTATTTAGTCATCTGTTTGTGCAACTATATTTTTAACTTAATTTATGATGAGCAAATAGTTTTTCTGAACTCCCAAGCTGTGTTTCCATGCTTCAGTTTGGTTTATTTTCCTCCCAATTTTCTTCAGAGCACATTACAGAGAACTTTCTCTACAAACTTGATAATGCTTCCACAAAGGTAAGTAGCATCTATCCGAAAGCACCAGGCCAAATGAACATAATTAGAAACTTGGAATAGAATCATAGAACAATATGCACGCGCTCTTTCCAATGCAGTTTAATAGAAATATACATCTCTGTCCAATTCTCTTTCCAAACCAATGGCTAAGCATCAGAGCCTATGCTAAGGGCGTCGTTTACAATATCTCATTTAATGCTTATGATAGTCTTGTCAGGTATCATTTTTACCTTATAAAAGGAAGAAATTGAGGCTTAGAAAAGCTGAGTGATTTGCCCAAACTTCTACAACTAGTAAATGGTGGAGCTGGACTTGCAGCCCACATCCGTGTGACTCTAAAGCCAGAACTTTTCACCAAAAATAAGGCCTCATTTTATTTTCCTCTTTTTTTGAAACAGCCTACTTATTTGAAACTAAGATCCAAATCCAACTGATATTAAAAATGTTAAGTGAATACTGTGCAACAGTACCGTATGAATGTTTATCTATGCTTATCTTTTGTAAAAACGTCATTCGTAAGGATGTTTTCCATGAACACTTAAGGCTGGCTCTGTAAAAGTTACCAAATTCTGTCCGTTTGGCATTTCTTCTCTTCTTCCACTGTTACCATGTCAAGTCTGCCTCTCAACCTCCTGAAAAATCAACAATGACGTGCTTTTAATACCTTCAAGATTTTGTTCCAACTTTTTGTGGCCACGAGTGAGAAAGTGGTCATTAACTGGAGGCTACACCATCAGGAACAGGATAAGTGGGGGCTGTGTCCATTCAACATGGGCCCTCTCTCCTCACTCTGCTGCCGGGAAGCCAGCCAGCCTCTCATCTTTAGAGTTTTTCAAACATGAATCAGGTACCCAACTCTGTGTCCCCTCAACTCCATAAGACAAAGGTCAGAGTCCTCAAAAGATTTTTTTTTTTTTTTTTTGAGACTGAGTCTCAGTGTGTTGCCGGCTAGAGTGCCGTGGCGTCAGCCTAGCTCACAGCAACCTCAAACTCCTGGGCTCAAGCAATCCTTCTGCCTCAGCCTCCCGAGTAGCTGGGACTACAGGCATGCACCACCGTCATGCCTGGCTAATTTTTTTCTATATATTTTTAATCGGCCAATTAATTTGTTTCTATTTTTAGTAGAGATGGGGTCTTGCGCTTGCTCAGGCTGGTTTCGAACTCCTGACCTTGAGCAATCCTCCCTCCTCGACCTCCCAGAGTGCTAGGATTACAGTCTTGAGCCACCACGCCTGGCCTCAAAAGATTCTTTTAAAGCCCCCTGCTTGGTTTGAGGGGGGTGGGAAGGAACCACAGCACTCTTACAAGTCTGCAAGAATCCCAGGACCAATACTCAAGCCTCTTTAAAGACCCTAGAGGTGAGGCTAAGGAATCCCTGGACAGGTTTTTTGGGGTCGCCCTCTGCAGTGTCTGCATGGATGGTCTAGCACCTCTCTCTTTAGAATGTGTGGGCACCTAACACTCCTTGTTTTTAGCTTTGGGGTCTCAGCTCAGACTGAGACATCAGAAAGTCCTATTTTAACAACCCGTTAGATATAGATTTGGTAGTTGAGCACACAGTTGTAATTAGAACTGCTGTGGAGGAAGAGGTGGGAGGGGAGGATACCACAGAAGAGGCTGTGGAGAGGGGACATAGCCAAAGACACAAAGACATAAAACATTTAAAAGGTACAATGGGGAAGAGTAACCAACATGCACAAAAGAAAAAAATTCTAAAAGGCGGAGATGAGATCCTAGGAGGTGAGAGAAGTCCTAAGAGAGAGCACTCTTTTAGAAACAAAGAGAAGAGTTTCAAGAAGGGAATGATAAGCCACAAAGACATCTCCCTGATATTTAAAGTGTTCCTAGAAATCAAGAATAAAAATATGAGCAGCTCAACAGAAAATGGGTAAAGACCATGAAGAGAGAGTTCACAACAAAAGAAATATAAATGGCCCTTAAACATTTGAAGAAATGCTCAACCCTGCTCTCAGTAAGAGGGTTGCCAGGGAGAACAACACTGAGAGGCACTTCTCACCTTTGAGGCTGGTGAACGTCCCCATGACAGGCTGCAGGGGCGAGGCTGCTGGGGAAGGAGCAGTTCCCTCACACACAGCGGGAATTCAGGGCGGGCAAGCCAGGGCTTTTTAAACTTCTCCTAGAGCCCGCAGTACTGGACTTTGAAGTAGTCAAAGACAAGTATGTACGGCGGTAGGATGCAACTACACAACCACTTGTTACAGAAATCAAAACTGTAAGCTCTCTGAGGGTAGAGTTTGATTTTTTTACTCCTTTGGGTATTTCCGCCATGGTGACTGATGACTGTCAGACTGCCTTGCTCATAGTTGCTTTATTTATTTAATTTCAGAGTATCACGGGGGTACAAACATTTTTTTGGTTATATCAATTGCTTTTTTACCATTTGAATCAAAGTTATGTGTGCCCATCCCCCCGATAGTATGCATTGTACCTTGTACCCATTAGGTGTGAATTTACCCATCCCCTCCTCCCCCTCCCACCTGCTGGATTTCCGATGAATGTTATTTCCATATGTGCACGTAAGCGTTGATCTGATTAGTTCTAATTTAACAGTGAGTATCTGTGGTGTTTGTTTTTCCATTCTTGTGATACTTCACTTAGAAGAATGGGCTCCAGCTCCATCCAGGATAATACAGGAGCTATTAGTTCACCATTTTTTTATGGCCAAGTAGTACTCCCTGGTATACATATACCACATTTTATTAATCTACTCATGATGGGCACTTGGTTGTTTCCACATCTTTGCAATTGTGAATTGTGCTGCCGCTATAAATATTTGAGTGCAGATGTCTTTTTTATAGAATGTCTTTTTCCTTACTCATAGTTTGAATAAATATTTGTGTAACTGAATTGTTATCCAATGCATGTCAGAACAAGCAGGACCTACATGCCTTGTCTCTTATGAATAGAGTAAAAATAAGCCGTGTAATTCATCAGCTTAACTGATAAAAAGGTTTTGTTCTTTTGCCTAGAGGGAGGGCTGTAAAGAGATCAATTCAGAAGCTTTTCTTTTTGAAATTCACCAGTTTAGTGCCATTTGAATGGGTGAATAACAGCAGCAGTTATATGTATGTATCAGTTCAGATCTCTCTTTTGCCTTTTTCCACCCAGGAAAAGTACTTGAAGAACTTTCCCAGGGGCAGATCCTTGGAGAGGATGCGTCCAAGAACTGGAGGAACAGTACAGTAACTGCAAAGGAATGCTCACCTCGGCACAGCCTTTCTCTGTGAGGACAACGATCCTTCATGCTACTGTGGCTGATTGCCCTTTACCTGCCCCTTACCTGATTTGGGGGGACCAGCTTAGTTAGGAGGAGATGAACTCCGCCTTTCAAGTTTTCAGTTCCTCGGAGGGGTTCATAAGGAGAGCTAAGTAGTGTTGTTTTAATCTATTGATAAGAGCGGAAGGCTGAATGAGACAAATGATCCACTATTTACTCGATCATCTGTTTACATTTTCTGCTTTCTTTGGATGTGAGCCAAAAATTCTTGTTGTATTTTTAGCAATTGTGATCATCATTAAACAGCCTTCGCTAAGCACCTTCCTGTTGTCCTAAAGTCTGGATCCATTAGGCTAGTTCCTGTCCAAAAGGAACTTGTAATTTAAAACAGTATAAAGGCCAGTGGTTCTCAAGCAGGAACAAGTTTGCCTCCCTGGAAGAAACGTGGCCGTGTCTGGAGACATTTTCGGCTGTCACAACTGGGGAGGGGGTGCTACTGGCATCTAGTTAGTGGAGGCCAAGGATACTGTTAAACATCCTGTCGTGCACAGGATGCGGAATTATCAAGGAGTTTGAGGTTGCCGTGAGCTAGGCTGATACCATGGCACTCTAGCCTGGGCAACACAGTGAGACTCAGTCTCAAAAAAAAAAAAAAAATCTTTTGAGGACCCTGACCTGTGTCTTATGGAGTTGAGGGGACACAGAGTTAGGTACCTGATTCATGTTTGAAAAATTCTAAAGATGAGAGGCTGGCTGAATTCTAAAGATGAGAGGCTGGCGGAATTAACAAGGAATTATTGGGCCAAAGATGTCAATAGTGCTGAGACTGAAAAACCCTGGTATAGACAGATGGACTTAAATGCACAATATTTTTTTAAATAATGATGGGTTAAGAAATGCATATGTGCCATGTAGAATATCTAGAGAAGAGACTGGAGGGACAGCAGATAGCAGATGGCCTCTGGTGGCAGAGTTAACCATCTTTCTTCCAATATCAGAGCAGGCTTTGTGAACGGGAGCTGAAGAGGGTGCAGGAGATTGCTTGGGATCCAAAAGACCTGCAGGAGAGTCTGTGATGAACTAAAATCATTCTGAATCTTAACAGTAGGGTCTACAGCTGATAAAAATGCCAATCATTCAGAGAATGATTACTACTAGCAAACCCTTCAAATTGGAAGATGTGGAACTTTATTCTGTGATTATGAAATGACTCACCAAGGCCAGAATCAACTTACAAGTTCAGAATCATATTAATTCAAAGATCAAAAAAGAGGAACCATTCAGCCAGCTCAAAGAAATTATTGCATCATTTCCTTGTGTGTGGTTCAGGTTAAAAATAACCTCTAATCCTTGTCAAGAGTAAACTGTCTTGTCAAAGAGAATTAGGAAATTACCTTGGAGTGGGGCTTCCAGGGTGGGGTTAGAAAAGGAGCAATTTATCAAGGAAGAAATTACTTGCTGCATTTTTTTATATATTTAATTTTTTTTTTTTACTATTTCGCCATATTGAAGTCAAATTTGAAGATTAAAATTTCTGAATGACTAAAGAAAATGTGGAGCAAAGGGAACATGGGGTGCGGTGGGAGAAAGGGCAGGAAGGAGAGTGGGGTTGTGTGTGTGTGTTTGCAGGGCTCAGGGAGGTGGGGCGCTGGAAGGTGCCTGAACCTCGGGGCCACTGGGCGTGCTTTTGTTCCCAGTCTTGGGCAGCCTGCCTTGGCCCTGAGCGCTCACAGAGACAGAGCGTAAACCACAAGCTCTGTGCCTGCCGGCCACGCCATGAAACTCAGGAAAGGCTGACCTCGGACTGAGCCCCAGAGCCACCTTAGTACCTTGACTACACACACTTGAGACAACACACTTGGGACAAGAACAGACGTGTTCTTCTCGGGATCGTGGCTGCACATGCTGCAAAGGCGTGAAGAGGGAGAACATGTCAAACAAAGCTGCTCTTGACCTTCAGATTCACTGCAGATTTCAGCCTGCTGCCAGCCTCCTCCTATTTGCCATGGGCTGCAAACGCCATAAAGCAAAACCAAGGGAGGTGTGGTGAGCGAGCCCTGCATTCTCGTTATAGGCACTCCCGCATTGCAGACCTGCCTGTCAAGCATTGGGGTGTCCTATTCCACCGTCCCTCCAGCCTTGTGCAACGTTGTTTCTTGGTTTCCTTGTAATGTGGGACAAGCCTTCTTGCTCTGGAAGCCATCAACTAGACTCATGCCAGTCAATCATTTCAGAGTGAGTGTGAATATGCGTACTGTGGAAATCGGTCCTCAAAGATGAAGGAGCTTTTCGGGGAGGGTCATATTGTACTGAAGTCGAGGAAAATCTGCACTCCAAACCACAATCACTCTGAGCATAGCTTTCAGTACATGAGCTGTACCACAATGTCCTGTGTAGTAAGCAAGAGCAATGTGCTTTTCTTAGAACAATCTAACCCATGTCATGGAATAGAGAGAACACAGGCTGGACCTGGGTTTCAGTCCTAACTTGCCACTTGCCAGTTATATGTCCTTGAGCAGTAGACTTCGTGTTTCTGAGACTCAATGATTTCATTGGCAGAATGGAAATGATATTCCTTACTTGCTAGGACTACAATGTGGAATGAATGAGCTAATGTGTCTAAGACCCATTTGTAGTACCTGGCATTTGGTAGGTACTTAATTCATAGTATTTGTGATCATAAATTTCTGTGTTAGAAATACAGTATTTCTAAGAGACATCTATCAGTGATTATATATTACATTCTATAATATGCCATGAAACCACACAGTTCAATAAAAGCCAACATTTATCATTAGCCTCATCACCGAAAAACTCCTGTGAAGCACTCGCCAGGTAGAATCAACACTTGCTCACGTGCCGGTGAGTTCTGTAAGCAGTGGGAAATCAAAGGTATGTGTACATACGTCAGCATAAGTCTCCTGTTAGAAAAACACACCCTGAAGAATGTGACATCGTTTGGTTTGAAGGCTAAGGAGATTTGTCAGCAAAAGCACGCAATAGCTCAAGGGAGATGCTGGGACTCTGGCCAATAACTTCTGACCTACAGACGGAGAAGAAACTCTGGGAACTGAAAGGTCTCTTATCACATTTTAATTCAAAAAATAAAATCTTACACTCTAGAGCCAGGATCTATAAATGGAATAAGATATCAGGAAGAGTAGTGTTCAGGTGATAAATAGTGCATTTGGCGAAGAGCTCACCACATGTGGCATCAGAGAAGCAAGGAACTCTTTGCCAATGTATTCTTCCAAGCTTAACCTCAAAACAGATGGAAGTCAGGAACTTAATGATTATGCCGTGCATTTATAGAACAATCACAATGCCAGGGCACCTTGAAAACAGGAGCTTGAAAATAGGGAGACTTGTTGACTGATTGGTCCGTCTGTTTCTCCATCCATCTATCTATCCATCTATCCATCTATCTATCCACCCACCCACCCACCTCCTCACCCAACCACCCATCCCTTTCTATCCATCCATTCACTCATCCATCCATCACATCAACATTAACTGAACACACACTCCCTGCCAGGCCCTGGACTGGAGGCCAAAGCTACAAAGGTGAAAAGGCTCCATCCCACTCCTCAGGGATCTCACAAAGCACGGGGGAAGCAGACACAGTCGAAAAGGAGTTATGTTCAAAATTCAGCGAGTTACACCTGGGCTGGGCGTACAGCAGACTTTTAGCAAATACCGTACGAAAACAATAAAAAAATAAACTGCAGGGGTATGGCAAGCCATGCCCTTTCCAGCTTTTTCTTCCTTATTTAACTTGAGGGTAAGGGATTTTGAGCCTGCCTTTCGGCGATTTGGGGGGATAACTGCACCACGTAGGTGGCTCTTGCCTTGTCTCTGCAGCCCACGTTCGCCGTCTCTGGAGAAAACGACTTCTGTGGCTTGAAGCCTCTAATGGAGTCGGTCCTCCCCCACGGACTGTCTTCACTTCGAGTGAGGGAGGGTTATTTACTGCGTGCTTTGTCGCTGACGATCTCCATGGAGAGAACGCAGGAATCACATTCACTTTCAGCCGCTGAGGGGCCTGGACAGAAGCCATCCCCGTCTGCTCTCCCTTTATCTCGTATGCGCGCGGGGCGGGCGGGCGGCCACGGGTGTATTTTAAAAAAGAAACCCTCAGAAAAGTTCACAAAATTGCACACATGCAATTCCCAGCTCAATATCAACTTGCTATTTGTTATTCACTTTAGTTTGTGTTTTGCGTTATTTGCCAAGGATTCAGGTACACTTCGGCTTTTGGGAATTAGGATTATAAACCATATGGAGATGCTGGTGCCATTAAAAAAAAGAAAAAGAAAAAGTTGAATGCGGCACCTGTCTGTTTTAAGCATTAGCAACACTGGCATTGGTTTTCATATCATTGTGAGTTAAGTAACTTTCACCTACTTGGATTTGGTTTGTCGTTTTGACATGGACTGATGAGAGCTAGAATATCGTCAAGCTTTTTTTTCTTTTCTGGTTTGGATGTGAGGGGTTCTGGAGGTTTCAGGGTTGCAAGTCATCCCTGTAAAACGCATCATCATTAATCAAATTACCAAGACCACAGCGTACAGGGTGTTCCATTCCAGGCTTGCGGGAATCATCTCGTCAGTTCTAAGCTGGCCACTGTCACTGGGGTAGACAAAGAATCAATCAAATCAACAAGTATTTATCCAGGGCTTATTACGCACTTAGCACGGTTCCAGGGTACGATTTGGAAGGGGAACAGGAGAGAGGGGAAGACGTGTAGGACACATTCCTTCATCATCTGAACAAGTGAGGGGGAAAATGGCAATTGTTTCTTCAAAATGCTGTCTGCTTTGATCTTTAGCTTTGAATAGCTGTATGATTTTAGGTTACAAGGTTGCGAATGTAACTGCTTTGTACTTTCATAAGTGAAATGAGTTATTTGGGGAGAAAAAGCCCACAGATTTATTGTACTAGTCTGGTGTTTCTCTTTACAATTGCTGCTGATTTTGGCTGCACAGAAAGGACCCTATATCCTGTCTGCCGAAGAGCATGATAGTGTAGAAAGGGCTTCAGGGGAACTTTTTTTCCTCTCTGGCATCCCCGTTGCTGAGTGAGTGGGCAAATGCCCAGCAAGGCCCTGGCCTAGTTGGTATTGTGATGCCCCTTAAGGCCCATGAAGCTGATCGGCAGGCAGAGAGATACACACCGATGTTCTGCCCATATTCCTGGAAAAAGGGGAAGTGGCCAGGTTATATAATAGTCTAACTTTAAGAGAAGTCCAGACCATTTTCCAATAAATAAAGCCACAACTGAGAAGTATAAGGGAAAGTGTCTCCTGTACTGCCAGGCTGGGG